TTTTTCCGTTGAACTAAAAGTGAAACTTAACAAAGTTTCATTTTTAGTTCTTTTATATTTTTATGCATAGAAATAAGAGATTACTGACATCTGTTAGATAATCTCTATGCTATTGTATTTTATCAAAAGAGTTACATAATTTATTGCCTTTATGTTCTGAAATTGAAGTATTTTAAGATAACATTACGTGTTTTACTCTAAATAATTGAAATGTAATATCCCTAAAATGGATATCGCTATAGTATACACATTTCTAAAAGTCTTAACTTTCTAAAATTATTTAATAAAAGAAAGTACAATATTATCCAATTGGTAATAATTAAATTTTTCCATATTTTTTACATCTAGAATAGCTTTACGTGTAGGAGCGCAATTGAGTTTCTTGAACTTCAATGGAAATCTACTCTTTTAAATGTTGTAAATCATTTTATAATCTTTATATGTTTCTAAAAATTGTAATTTTAAAATATCAAGAACTTTCAACCCCCCTGTGACAGTGATGGCCAACCCGCAGCCCGCCTTGAACATTTTCCAGTCCCGTGAGATTTATCTCACTTTTACAAAATACATTTATTTTATAATGGCCAAAGTAGTGAAAACCAATGTATTAAAAAAATTCATTATGTGCGCATACATATGATCTGAGAAATTTGGCTCAAAAAGTTGTCAGCGCTGATGGTTCAACTTACACTTGCGAATCGTTTTTTGCTAAAATGAAATTGACCCAACACAAAACACGTTCAAAAGAACTGTCGCTAACCATAGGAAACATTATTACAGATACGCATGCGCAATTTCCTATGAGCATGCGCGCTAGGGAGAAAAAAATAACGTATTATAAAAATATTTTAATGAGCATTTTCACAGAGCCGCGAATTTAAATGATTTTATTGACTGACTAATTACCATATTGTTTGGCGCAGCTTGGTCAACTGGCCTTTGTCCCATAAAATAACAACAACTAACTAATCTTCTTCATTGGCGCAGCAGTCCCATGCGGGTCAAGGCCGTATCAAAACCGCCACGAATCAAGGCCGTTTGCCTGCTGACAAATTTCAAGACTGGAGATGTTTTCATTTTTGCTGCGTAGGGTTGTGAGCCCTTTGCCCAACGTTCTACAGTCATATTAGATTGATACCTACAATTTAAAGTGGATTCCGAACCACTACAAACTTCCAAGGCACCGCAAGGATTCGAACCCGAAAACTGAGGCACCGAGCATCAAAGTGCTCGTCACTCGGCCATCAGTATGACATTATGACATATGACATAATGACATCAATATGACTTCATAAGTATGACAAGAAATTCTAATTTATTCAACTTACTTCTTCTTCTTCATTGGTGCAACAGCCCCATGGTGGACCATGGCCGCTGCTTAATGGCAAGATTTTCAAGACAGGAGATGCTCTCTTTTTTATTGGGTAAGGTTATCAGCTCTACTTCCATCACTCTACAGTCATACTAGATTGAGACCTATGGCTTAAAGGGAATTCTGAACCACTACAAACATCCTTGGAACGGCCTGCACTCGAGCCCGAGAGCTGCAGCACAGAGCGCCAGACCGCTAATCCATCAGCCATGAAACCCCAATTACTTATCCTCCTAATCTTACGAAAAATCAAAATAAGTTGACTTGTGAGAAATTAAAATTTATCTTAAAATAAAGACAAATTTACTATCGTATTAATTATAAAACTATTAATTTTTTCAAAAGAAATCGGTCAATTATCGAACCTTTAAATTTATCATCATCATCGTCATCGTGGCACAATAGCCCCATGGTGGGCCAAGGCCGTCTGCCTACTGGCAGATTTCTAGACGAGAGATGTTTCCTTTTTATGGGGTAAGGTTTTCAGCCCAACTCTCTATAATCATATTAGATCGGGACCTACTGTTTAAAAAGCGGATTTCGAACCGCTAAAAACATCCATGGCACCGTCGTTACTCGAACCTCTCCTTGGAGATCATGATGATTTAATAAGCTTATTCTATTGCAGTTAAAATATAAATCTGCCTTAGAGACATGTAATTAAAAACAATATGACACTCTAAATATTTGTAAATTGTTAAATGACTTAACTATGAAATATCCCATTTGTAAATAACTAACTCCTTGGCACTGCAGTCCATGTATTACCATAGCCATCTGCCTACTGTCAGATTCCGAAACAGGAGATGTTTTCATTTTACGGAATAGACTTGCCGTCCAACGTCCAACGCTCTACAGTCATATCAGAATGGGACCTACTGTTTAAAGTGAGGTTCGAAGCACTACAGAGTACTACTACTACAAACTTCTAAGCACTATAGACTACTACTACTACTACTACTACTACTACTACTACTTCTACTACTACTACTACTACTACTACTACTACTACTACTACTACTACTACTACTACTACTACTATAGACTATTAAGAACTACAGACTACTACTACTACTACTACTACTACTACTACTACTACTACTACTACTACTACTACTACTACTACTACTACTACTACTACTATAGACTATTAAGCACTACAGACTACTACTACTACTACTACTACTACTACTACTACTACTACTACTACTACTACTACTACTACAGACTACTACTACTACTAGCACTACAGACTACTACTACTACAGACTACAAAGCACTACAGACTACAATAGCCCTACAGGTCCGTAACACTACAGACATCCATGGTGGCGCCGGGACTCTAACCCGAAATTTATGGCCCCGAGCGCTAGTCACTCGGCCATTAAGTCCCTTTAAATTTATAATCTCTCCCCCCAAAAAAAAAAAAAAAAATTAATTAATCTTTGAAAACTTTCATCTTTTAAAAATCCTGTTCATGTTTTTTCTGTGTTTATTTGTAACCGTCTATCTTGGGGTTTTTTTTCCGAACCGAATAAGTACAAAAAATAAATGACAATAATGATTTCAACAGAAAGTATAGTGACTTGCTAGATAAATGACTGAAGTAGAAACAAAAATAATTTTCTAAACTGAAAATGAAAAAACAAATTCATCTCCGCTCTTTTCACTGACTATTTTCTTTTCGGGTGGTAAGTGTTTATCATTTCACGCGAGAAATAACTTTCTTGAGCTTAAAAGACGTCATGCATCTAATGTGTTTAAAGGTGTGGTTGCTTCGCTTAACGTTCGTATTTTTAGGTTACTTAAAGGATTCACAACAGAAGCTACAAAGCTTGATGCCTTCCGTCAACCACGCTTTTCCTCATGTTAAAGAAAAAAAAGGGAGAAAAAAATCAAAACATGCAAAGTAAGAGCAATTCATTTTAGTTTTTAAAAACCATTCACAAGGTTTACAGCTACTGAATGTTTATAAAATAATTTTTTTTTTTTTGAAGTAGGAAGCTTGCTTTTCTAAAGTCAGAAAGCGTGCCAAAATAATTTACTGGGTGAAATAATAAAATTAAATCTAATCCAGAAATTAACTTCTTATATGAGTTTCATTCATGCACTTTTATTCAATAAAATAATATTAGATTCATTATGTTTTATTATATCAGTGACCACATATTTCATTTATTCGGTACGACAGGTTTTGGGTTCAAGTCCCGGCCGTGCCATGGATGTTTATAGTGGCTCGGAATGCACTTTAAAAGGTAGGTACCGGTCTAACATGATCATAGTACGTTGCGAGGTAGTATTACTCTCGTCGGTAGCATATCTTCAAGCTACACGTGCCACCTGGGTAGTCCTAAATGAGTAACAGCGGTACAGCCCTTGCTTATTGCATAAAGATAACTGTCTCTAGTATTGCCAGCTGTATTAGGAAAAAAAAAAAAAAAGCATATTCCACTTATATAATGGGTTGAATACCATTTATATTCCACTTTGTGAAATATTAGTTTAGTAGATTGAAATGCATTTTTGAAGAAAAATATCTCATTAATATTTTAATAAAATATAAATTATCTTGAATGCCAACATAGTTACAAGTTATATAACTAGATGGCGCCACGAGATTAACAAACTTTCAAAATGTTAACTAGCATCAGAGAGTCGGACACTGAGATGGGCTTTGACCTTTTTTGAACGTGTTCTAACGCAATGATGACGAATTTATGACCTACAGGTCTAACACTGACGCACAAAAGATGATGATTTGTGATAGAGGCACATTACAAATAAAGTGTGCGTGGGCTCATTACATTAAAATAGGATTATATTATTAAATTAGCTTTGCACAAGAGTTGCAGAACACTACAGCAGCTTGATGATGACTGAAGTGGTATATGGGGATGTGAAGCAACAAGGACTATAATCCCCTAATCACTATATATATGAACAGTTTTTTTTTTTCCTTATTTTTCATAAGTCACACTCCACAACGCTCTAAGATCGTGTTAGACCGGGACCTACGGTTTAAAGTGGATTCCAAACCACTACAAACATCCACGGCACCACCGGGACTCGAACCCGAAACTTGTGGTACCGAGCCCCAGAGCGCTAGCCACTCGGACTACAGCAGCTTGACTCACCGACAGCACATCTATCGCGTTATTAGCACGACGCTCTAACGGTCGAGCTCGCGTTTCGGGAGCACCACTGTTCTCTTGATTGGATCCAAAAATATTTTTTTCTTTAAAAGAAAAGAAACGTTGGCCCATGAGGGGATTGAACCCGCGACCTTCGCGTTATTAGCACGACGCTCTAACCAACTGAGCTAATGGGCCGGTCGACTGTTCGGGAGCACCACTGTTCTCGATTGGATCCAAAATAATTTTTTCTTTAAAAGAAAAGAAACGTTTCGGGATTTGAACCGACCTGTTCTCTTGATTGGATCCAAAAATAATTTTTTTCTTTAAAAGAAAAGAAACGTTGGCCCATGAGGGGATTGAACCCGCGACCTTCGCGTTATTAGCACGACGCTCTAACCAACTGAGCTAATGGGCCGGTCGATCTGTTCGGGAGCACCACTGTTCTCTTGATTGGATCCAAAAATACTTTTTTTTCTTTAAAAGAAAAGAAACGTTGGCCCATGATGGGATTGAACCCGCGACCTTCGCGTTATTAGCACGACGCTCTAACCAACTGAGCTAATGGGCCGGTCGATCTGTTCGGGAGCACCACTGTTCTCTTGATTGGATCCAAAAATACTTTTTCTTTAAAAGAAAAGAAACGTTGGCCCATGAGGGGGAACCCGCGACCTTCGCGTTATTAGCACGACGCTCTAACCAACTGAGCTAATGGGCCGGTCGATCTGTTCGGGAGCACCACTGTTCTCTTGATTGGATCCAAAAATACTTTTTTCTTTAAAAGAAAAGAAACGTTGGCCCATGAGGGGATTGAACCCGCGACCTTCGCGTTATTAGCACGACGCTCTAACCAACTGAGCTAATGGGCCGGTCGATCTGTTCGGGAGCACCACTGTTCTCTTGATTGGATCCAAAAATACTTTTTTCTTTAAAAGAAAAGAAACGTTGGCCCATGAGGGGATTGAACCCGCGACCTTCGCGTTATTAGCACGACGCTCTAACCAACTGAGCTAATGGGCCGGTCGATCTGTTCGGGAGCACCACTGTTCTCTTGATTGGATCCAAAAATACTTTTTTCTTTAAAAGAAAAGAAACGTTGGCCCATGAGGGGATTGAACCCGCGACCTTCGCGTTATTAGCACGACGCTCTAACCAACTGAGCTAATGGGCCGGTCGATCTGTTCGGGAGCACCACTGTTCTCTTGATTGGATCCAAAAATACATTTTTCTTTAAAAGAAAAGAAACGTTGGCCCATGAGGGGATTGAACCCGCGACCTTCGCGTTATTAGCACGACGCTCTAACCAACTGAGCTAATGGGCCGGTCGATCTGTTCGGGAGCACCACTGTTCTCTTGATTGGATCCAAAAATACTTTTTCTTTAAAAGAAAAGAAACGTTGGCCCATGAGGGGATTGAACCCGCGACCTTCGCGTTATTAGCACGACGCTCTAACCAACTGAGCTAATGGGCCGGTCGGATCGATCTGTTCGGGAGCACCACTGTTCTCTTGATTGGATCCAAAAATACATTTTTCTTTAAAAGAAAAGAAACGTTGGCCCATGAGGGGATTGAACCCGCGACCTTCGCGTTATTAGCACGACGCTCTAACCAACTGAGCTAATGGGCCGGTCGATCTGTTCGGGAGCACCACTGTTCTCTTGATTGGATCCAAAAATACTTTTTTTCTTTAAAAGAAAAGAAACGTTGGCCCATGAGGGGATTGAACCCGCGACCTTCGCGTTATTAGCACGACGCTCTAACCAACTGAGCTAATGGGCCGGTCGATCTGTTCGGGAGCACCACTGTTCTCTTGATTGGATCCAAAAATACATTTTTTCTTTAAAAGAAAAGAAACGTTGGCCCATGAGGGGATTGAACCCGCGACCTTCGCGTTATTAGCACGACGCTCTAAACAACTGAGCTAATGGGCTGGTCGATCTGTTCGGGAGCAACACTGTTCTCTTGATTGGATCCAAAAATAATTTTTTTCTTTAAAAGAAAAGAAACGTTGGCCCATGAGGGGATTGAACCCGCGACCTTCGCGTTATTAGCACGACGCTCTAACCAACTGAGCTAATGGGCCGGTCGATCTGTTCGGGAGCACCACTGTTCTCTTGATTGGATCCAAAAATACGTTTTTTTCTTTAAAAGAAAAGAAACGTTTGGCCCATGAGGGGATTGAACCCGCGACCTTCGCGTTATTAGCACGACGCTCTAACCAACTGAGCTAATGGGCCGGTCGATCTGTTCGGGAGCACCACTGTTCTCTTGATTGGATCCAAAAATACTTTTTTCTTTAAAAGAAAAGAAACGTTGGCCCATGAGGGGATTGAACCCGCGACCTTCGCGTTATTAGCACGACGCTCTAACCAACTGAGCTAATGGGCCGGTCGATCTGTTCGGGAGCACCACTGTTCTCTTGATTGGATCCAAAAATACTTTTTTTCTTTAAAAGAAAAGAAACGTTGGCCCATGAGGGGATTGAACCCGCGACCTTCGCGTTATTAGCACGACGCTCTAACCAACTGAGCTAATGGGCCGGTCGATCTGTTCGGGAGCACCACTGTTCTCTTGATTGGATCCAAAAATACATTTTTCTTTAAAAGAAAAGAAACGTTGGCCCATGAGGGGATTGAACCCGCGACCTTCGCGTTATTAGCACGACGCTCTAACCAACTGAGCTAATGGGCCGGTCGATCTGTTCGGGAGCACCACTGTTCTCTTGATTGGATCCAAAAATATTTTTTTCTTTAAAAGAAAAGAAACGTTGGCCCATGAGGGGATTGAACCCGCGACCTTCGCGTTATTAGCACGACGCTCTAACCAACTGAGCTAATGGGCCGGTCGATCTGTTCGGGAGCACCACTGTTCTCTTGATTGGATCCAAAAATAATTTTTTCTTTAAAAGAAAAGAAACGTTGGCCCATGAGGGGATTGAACCCGCGACCTTCGCGTTATTAGCACGACGCTCTAACCAACTGAGCTAATGGGCCGGTCGATCTGTTCGGGAGCACCACTGTTCTCTTGATTGGATCCAAAAATACTTTTTTTCTTTAAAAGAAAAGAAACGTTGGCCCATGAGGGGATTGAACCCGCGACCTTCGCGTTATTAGCACGACGCTCTAACCAACTGAGCTAATGGGCCGGTCGATCTGTTCGGGAGCACCACTGTTCTCTTGATTGGATCCAAAAATAATTTTTCTTTAAAAGAAAAGAAACGTTGGCCCATGAGGGGATTGAACCCGCGACCTTCGCGTTATTAGCACGACGCTCTAACCAACTGAGCTAATGGGCCGGTCGATCTGTTCGGGAGCACCACTGTTCTCTTGATTGGATCCAAAAATACTTTTTTTCTTTAAAAGAAAAGAAACGTTGGCCCATGAGGGGATTGAACCCGCGACCTTCGCGTTATTAGCACGACGCTCTAACCAACTGAGCTAATGGGCCGGTCGATCTGTTCGGGAGCACCACTGTTCTCTTGATTGGATCCAAAAATAATTTTTTCTTTAAAAGAAAAGAAACGTTGGCCCATGAGGGGATTGAACCCGCGACCTTCGCGTTATTAGCACGACGCTCTAACCAACTGAGCTAATGGGCCGGTCGATCTGTTCGGGAGCACCACTGTTCTCTTGATTGGATCCAAAAATACTTTTTTTCTTTAAAAGAAAAGAAACGTTGGCCCATGAGGGGATTGAACCCGCGACCTTCGCGTTATTAGCACGACGCTCTAACCAACTGAGCTAATGGGCCGGTCGATCTGTTCGGGAGCACCACTGTTCTCTTGATTGGATCCAAAAATAATTTTTTCTTTAAAAGAAAAGAAACGTTGGCCCATGAGGGGATTGAACCCGCGACCTTCGCGTTATTAGCACGACGCTCTAACCAACTGAGCTAATGGGCCGGTCGATCTGTTCGGGAGCACCACTGTTCTCTTGATTGGATCCAAAAATAATTTTTTTCTTTAAAAGAAAAGAAACGTTGGCCCATGAGGGGATTGAACCCGCGACCTTCGCGTTATTAGCACGACGCTCTAACCAACTGAGCTAATGGGCCGGTCGATCTGTTCGGGAGCACCACTGTTCTCTTGATTGGATCCAAAAATATTTTTTTCTTTAAAAGAAAAGAAACGTTGGCCCATGAGGGGATTGAACCCGCGACCTTCGCGTTATTAGCACGACGCTCTAACCAACTGAGCTAATGGGCCGGTCGATCTGTTCGGGAGCACCACTGTTCTCTTGATTGGATCCAAAAATACATTTTTCTTTAAAAGAAAAGAAACGTTGGCCCATGAGGGGATTGAACCCGCGACCTTCGCGTTATTAGCACGACGCTCTAACCAACTGAGCTAATGGGCCGGTCGATCTGTTCGGGAGCACCACTGTTCTCTTGATTGGATCCAAAAATACTTTTTTTCTTTAAAAGAAAAGAAACGTTGGCCCATGAGGGGATTGAACCCGCGACCTTCGCGTTATTAGCACGACGCTCTAACCAACTGAGCTAATGGGCCGGTCGATCTGTTCGGGAGCACCACTGTTCTCTTGATTGGATCCAAAAATACATTTTTTTTTCTTTGAGGGGATTGAAAAGCGTTATTAGCAACGCTCTAACCAACTGAGCTAATGGGCCGGTCGATCTGTTCGGGAGCACCACTGTTCTCTTGATTGGATCCAAAAATAATTTTTCTTTAAAAGAAAAGAAACGTTGGCCCATGAGGGGATTGAACCCGCGACCTTCGCGTTATTAGCACGACGCTCTAACCAACTGAGCTAATGGGCCGGTCGATCTGTTCGGGAGCACCACTGTTCTCTTGATTGGATCCAAAAATTTTTTTTCTTTAAAAAAAGAAACGTTGGCCCATGAGGGGATTGAACCCGCGACCTTCGCGTTATTAGCACGACGCTCTAACCAACTGAGCTAATGGGCCGGTCGATCTGTTCGGGAGCACCACTGTTCTCTTGATTGGATCCAAAAATATTTTTTCTTTTAAAAAAGAAAAGAAACGTTGGCCCATGAGGGGATTGAACCCGCGACCTTCGCGTTATTAGCACGACGCTCTAACCAACTGAGCTAATGGGCCGGTCGATCTGTTCGGGAGCACCACTGTTCTCTTGATTGGATCCAAAAATACTTTTTTTCTTTAAAAGAAAAGAAACGTTGGCCCATGAGGGGATTGAACCCGCGACCTTCGCGTTATTAGCACGAGCACGACGCTCTAACCAACTGAGCTAATGGGCCGGTCGATCTGTTCGGGAGCACCACTGTTCTCTTGATTGGATCCAAAAATACTTTTTTCTTTAAAAGAAAAGAAACGTTGGCCCATGAGGGGATTGAACCCGCGACCTTCGCGTTATTAGCACGACGCTCTAACCAACTGAGCTAATGGGCCGGTCGATCTGTTCGGGAGCACCACTGTTCTCTTGATTGGATCCAAAAATATTTTTTCTTTAAAAGAAAAGAAACGTTGGCCCATGATGGGGGATTGAACCCGCGACCTTCGCGTTATTAGCACGACGCTCTAACCAACTGAGCTAATGGGCCGGTCGATCTGTTCGGGAGCACCACTGTTCTCTTGATTGGATCCAAAAATACTTTTTTTTTTAAAAGAAAAGAAACGTTGGCCCATGAGGGGATTGAACCCGCGACCTTCGCGTTATTAGCACGACGCTCTAACCAACTGAGCTAATGGGCCGGTCGATCTGTTCGGGAGCACCACTGTTCTCTTGATTGGATCCAAAAATACTTTTTTTCTTTAAAAGAAAAGAAACGTTGGCCCATGAGGGGATTGAACCCGCGACCTTCGCGTTATTAGCACGACGCTCTAACCAACTGAGCTAATGGGCCGGTCGATCTGTTCGGGAGCACCACTGTTCTCTTGATTGGATCCAAAAATACATTTTTTTCTTTAAAAGAAAAGAAACGTTGGCCCATGAGGGGATTGAACCCGCGACCTTCGCGTTATTAGCACGACGCTCTAACCAACTGAGCTAATGGGCCGGTCGATCTGTTCGGGAGCACCACTGTTCTCTTGATTGGATCCAAAAATAATTTTTTCTTTAAAAGAAAAGAAACGTTGGCCCATGAGGGGATTGAACCCGCGACCTTCGCGTTATTAGCACGACGCTCTAACCAACTGAGCTAATGGGCCGGTCGATCTGTTCGGGAGCACCACTGTTCTCTTGATTGGATCCAAAAATAATTTTTTTCTTTAAAAGAAAAGAAACGTTGGCCCATGAGGGGATTGAACCCGCGACCTTCGCGTTATTAGCACGACGCTCTAACCAACTGAGCTAATGGGCCGGTCGATCTGTTCGGGAGCACCACTGTTCTCTTGATTGGATCCAAAAATACTTTTTTTCTTTAAAAGAAAAGAAACGTTGGCCCATGAGGGGATTGAACCCGCGACCTTCGCGTTATTAGCACGACGCTCTAACCAACTGAGCTAATGGGCCGGTCGATCTGTTCGGGAGCACCACTGTTCTCTTGATTGGATCCAAAAATAATTTTTCTTTAAAAGAAAAGAAACGTTGGCCCATGAGGGGATTGAACCCGCGACCTTCGCGTTATTAGCACGACGCTCTAACCAACTGAGCTAATGGGCCGGTCGATCTGTTCGGGAGCACCACTGTTCTCTTGATTGGATCCAAAAATACGTTTTTTTCTTTAAAAGAAAAGAAACGTTGGCCCATGAGGGGATTGAACCCGCGACCTTCGCGTTATTAGCACGACGCTCTAACCAACTGAGCTAATGGGCCGGTCGATCTGTTCGGGAGCACCACTGTTCTCTTGATTGGATCCAAAAATACATTTTTCTTTAAAAGAAAAGAAACGTTGGCCCATGAGGGGATTGAACCCGCGACCTTCGCGTTATTAGCACGACGCTCTAACCAACTGAGCTAATGGGCCGGTCGATCTGTTCGGGAGCACCACTGTTCTCTTGATTGGATCCAAAAATACTTTTTTCTTTAAAAGAAAAGAAACGTTGGCCCATGAGGGGATTGAACCCGCGACCTTCGCGTTATTAGCACGACGCTCTAACCAACTGAGCTAATGGGCCGGTCGATCTGTTCGGGAGCACCACTGTTCTCTTGATTGGATCCAAAAATACTTTTTCTTTAAAAGAAAAGAAACGTTGGCCCATGAGGGGATTGAACCCGCGACCTTCGCGTTATTAGCACGACGCTCTAACCAACTGAGCTAATGGGCCGGTCGATCTGTTCGGGAGCACCACTGTTCTCTTGATTGGATCCAAAAATAATTTTTTCTTTAAAAGAAAAGAAACGTTGGCCCATGAGGGGATTGAACCCGCGACCTTCGCGTTATTAGCACGACGCTCTAACCAACTGAGCTAATGGGCCGGTCGATCTGTTCGGGAGCACCACTGTTCTCTTGATTGGATCCAAAAATACATTTTTCTTTAAAAGAAAAGAAACGTTGGCCCATGAGGGGATTGAACCCGCGACCTTCGCGTTATTAGCACGACGCTCTAACCAACTGAGCTAATGGGCCGGTCGATCTGTTCGGGAGCACCACTGTTCTCTTGATTGGATCCAAAAATATTTTTTTTTCTTTAAAAGAAAAGAAACGTTGGCCCATGAGGGGATTGAACCCGCGACCTTCGCGTTATTAGCACGACGCTCTAAACCAACTGAGCTAATGGGCCGGTCGATCTGTTCGGGAGCACCACTGTTCTCTTGATTGGATCCAAAAATATTTTTTTCTTTAAAAGAAAAGAAACGTTGGCCCATGAGGGGGATTGAACCCGCGACCTTCGCGTTATTAGCACGACGCTCTAACCAACTGAGCTAATGGGCCGGTCGATCTGTTCGGGAGCACCACTGTTCTCTTGATTGGATCCAAAAATAATTTTTCTTTAAAAGAAAAGAAACGTTGGCCCATGAGGGGATTGAACCCGCGACCTTCGCGTTATTAGCACGACGCTCTAACCAACTGAGCTAATGGGCCGGTCGATCTGTTCGGGAGCACCACTGTTCTCTTGATTGGATCCAAAAATACGTTTTTTTCTTTAAAAGAAAAGAAACGTTGGCCCATGAGGGGATTGAACCCGCGACCTTCGCGTTATTAGCACGACGCTCTAACCAACTGAGCTAATGGGCCGGTCGATCTGTTCGGGAGCACCACTGTTCTCTTGATTGGATCCAAAAATAATTTTTTCTTTAAAAGAAAAGAAACGTTGGCCCATGAGGGGATTGAACCCGCGACCTTCGCGTTATTAGCACGACGCTCTAACCAACTGAGCTAATGGGCCGGTCGATCTGTTCGGGAGCACCACTGTTCTCTTGATTGGATCCAAAAATACTTTTTTCTTTAAAAGAAAAGAAACGTTGGCCCATGAGGGGATTGAACCCGCGACCTTCGCGTTATTAGCACGACGCTCTAAACAACTGAGCTAATGGGCTGGTCGATCTGGTTCGGGAGCAACACTGTTCTCTTGATTGGATCCAAAAATAATTTTTCTTTAAAAGAAAAGAAACGTTGGCCCATGAGGGGATTGAACCCGCGACCTTCGCGTTATTAGCACGACGCTCTAACCAACTGAGCTAATGGGCCGGTCGATCTGTTCGGGAGCACCACTGTTCTCTTGATTGGATCCAAAAATACTTTTTCTTTAAAAGAAAAGAAACGTTGGCCCATGAGGGGATTGAACCCGCGACCTTCGCGTTATTAGCACGACGCTCTAACCAACTGAGCTAATGGGCCGGTCGATCTGTTCGGAGCACCACTGTTCTCTTGATTGGATCCAAAAATACTTTTTCTTTAAAAGAAAAGAAACGTTGGCCCATGAGGGGATTGAACCCGCGACCTTCGCGTTATTAGCACGACGCTCTAACCAACTGAGCTAATGGGCCGGTCGATCTGTTCGAGGAGCACCACTGTTCTCTTGATTGATTGGATCCAAAAATACTTTTTTCTTTAAAAGAAAAGAAACGTTGGCCCATGAGGGGATTGAACCCGCGACCTTCGCGTTATTAGCACGACGCTCTAACCAACTGAGCTAATGGGCCGGTCGATCTGTTCGGGAGCACCACTGTTCTCTTGATTGGATCCAAAAATATATTTTTCTTTAAAAGAAAAGAAACGTTGGCCCATGAGGGGATTGAACCCGCGACCTTCGCGTTATTAGCACGACGCTCTAACCAACTGAGCTAATGGGCCGGTCGATCTGTTCGGGAGCACCACTGTTCTCTTGATTGGATCCAAAAATATTTTTTTCTTTAAAAAGAAAAGAAACGTTGGCCCATGGGGATTGAACCCGCGACCTTCGCGTTATTAGCACGACGCTCTAACCAACTGAGCTAATGGGCCGGTCGATTTCGGGAGCACCACTGTTCTCTTAAGGTTATCAGCCCTACGCCCTAAATTTATATTTGACCGGGACATGCGGCTTAAAGCGAAATCCAAACCAATACGAATATTCATGACACAGCCGGGACTCGAACACGAAACCTATAATAGCAAGCCCCAGAGCGCAAAGTCACTCGCCTATAATATCCTTTAATTACTTTTCGACCTATGATTTTACGTTGTCCTGCCAAAAGAAATGTATTGTAAAAAATTACATATCGCGAATATATTCTCCTTTCAAAAGGCAAGAATGGGCCTTTTGAATCAAGGAAAGGATGGTTTTGAAGGCAAGGATGGGCCTTTTTTTTTGATGGGATCGTTACTTATGCAACTTCGACGAAAGAGAGCGAGATTTGAACAACTTACAGAGTTTGAACGGGGAGAATCCTCGGCCTTCGTGAAGCTGGATTGTCTTATCGTGCATAGCCACTCGTGTGCAGCGTAACAGCAGCACAGTGATGCGTCTTTGGAAGCAGTGGATGGACGAGTGTCGGACAACTCGGAAATCCGGAAGTGGACCCCGAAATGTGACGTCAGCTCGCGATGATAGACACCTGGTCCGCATGGCGCTGACGGACCGTACAGCTTCCTCTAGACAATTTCCAGCACAGTGGTCAATAGCTACAGGTGTTTCATTGTGTGCTTCATCAATTCGTAGATGTCTACTGCATTGTGGACTGCGCGCAAGGCCTCCTTTGTACAGGATCCCTCTCACGCTAAACCATCGCCGCTTGCGGCCACAATGGGCCGCTCAGCATAGAGACTGGCGTGCTGATTGGCAGCATGTCGGGTTTTCTGACGAATCCCGCTTTAATTTGTGGTACCATGATGGCCGCATTCGTGTCAGACGCTATGCCGGTGAACGCCACCTTCCGGAGTGCATTATCGAACGCCACAGTGGACGAACACCCGGAGTTATGGTCTGGGGTGCCATAGCATATCATGGATGATCTCAATTGCTAAGAATTGTGGGCAATCTGAACAGCAACCGGTACATCAGTGAAGTTCTACAGCCCCAAGCTGTTCCCTTCCTTCAAAGCTTGCCAGGCGCTGTATTTCAACAGGACAATGCCCGCCCTCATATCGCTAGGACTGTTCAATCCTTCTTTGCAACGCGGCAAGTACAGCTTCTTCCTTGGCCTGCGTATTTCCCGGATATGCCGCCGATTGAACATGTGTGGGATTTCGTTGGTCGGCGTCTAGCTCGTGATTCTCGTCCTGTTGCTTCTGCAGACGAATTTTGGGTGCGCATACAAACAATATGGAATGCTCTTCCTCAGGCAGACATTCAAAATTTGTTTGACTCCATGCCACGTCGTGTAGCAGCACTTATTGCTGCGCGTGGTGGCTACACAAAATACTGATTCCGATCTCTTGTTTTTGTTTGTTTGCTTTGAAAATTTAATCATTTATTTGTACTACTACCACTCAACTGTGTATTAAATTTCATTCAATTACGACGATTCCTTCATGGTGTTGCAATTTCCACAAACAGGAGTTTATATATATATATATATACAGAGTTATTCAATGGTCAAAGATAAATTTTTAGGTATGGTACTGCTTAAAAAAGCACTTTTTATCTAGGAATGTAAGTGACAAGGTCGTAAGTGACAAGTTGAGCCACAACATCAAAAAGAAAAAGGCATGAAAAAAGAAAATAATGTTTATTTACAACATCATTTCAAAGTTCTTCTTTGATTCAATGTTTGCAATAAATGCTCAAAAGTGCGACTGCCTACAGTAGTATAGGCTTGGTAGTGTCGAAAGTGTGATTGGCGAACAGTTCCAAAGTTGCTAGCCATGTCATGGCTGTAATGGATAGTCGACCAACGAGGTCCTTAACTGGAGGTCATTAACTGGAGTTAACTGGAGGTCATCGTAAATGTAAAGCAGTTGCAAACACATAGTAAGAATAAATTAGAATGCGTATTGGAGTTGCCAGACAGAGGATTTGAAACTCGTCACGTGACGGGTATCAGTTGGAGCATTGTGCCTGGCTGTTGCGAGAAAATCGTTTGAAAATCGTTCTTCAACGTGTTACTTCCGACCCCACATTCCTGCAATAAAAATGTATGTTTTTAGTTAGTTGCACCACCCTCAGAGTTTGTCCATATGACTGTTGAATCACACTGTATAAGTATATACAGTGTGATTCAACAATCATAGGACAAACTCTGAAGTGATAAAAGTCATGGGATAGCAATATGCAAATTTTCAGATGGCAGTAGCATCGTGTAGAACAGGTATAAATGCGCAGTGCTTTCGCAGAGCTTTTCATTTCTGTTCAAGTTATTCATGTGAAGAGGTTTTGACGTGATGATGACCGCACGATGGGAATTAACAGACTTTGAACGCGGATTGTTAGTTGGAGCTAGACGCATGGGTCATGCCATTTTCGGAAATCGTTAGGGAATTCAACATTCCCAGATCCACTGTGTCAAGAGTGTGCCGAGAGTGTGAAATTTCAGGCATAACATCCCACTATGGACAGCGCAGTGGTCGACCGCCTGCACTTAACGACCGAGACCGGCGACGTCTGCAAGAGTCGTAAATTCTAACAGACAAGCAATACTGCGTCAAATAACCGCAGAAATCAATGTGGGACGTACAAAGGGACTTGTCTGTTAGAACTGTGCGGAGAAATTTGGCTTTCTTGGGCTATTCCAGCAGAAGACCGATTCGAGTGCCTTTACTGACAGAACGACATCGCTTGCAGCGACTCTCGTGGGCACGTGAGCATATCGGTTGGTCCCCTAGATGAATGGAAAACCGTGGCCTGGTCCGATGAGTCACGATTTCTGTTGGTAAGAGCTGATGGTAGGGTTCGAGTGTGTCGCAGACCCCACGAAGCCATGGACCCAAACTGTCAGCAAGGCACTGTTCAAGCTGGTGGTGGCTCCGTAATGGTGTGGGCTGTTTTTCATGGCATGGACTTGGTCCTCTGGTGCGACTGGGCCGAACATTGATTGGAAATGCTTATGTTCAGCTACTTGGAGATCACTTGCAGCCATTCATGGACTTCATGTACCCAAACAACGATGGGATTTTTATGGATGACAATGCGCCATGTCACCGGGCCACAACTGTTCGCGATTGGTTTGAAGAACATTCTGGACAATTCCAACGAATGTTCTGGCCACCTAGATCGCCCGACATGAATCCCATCGAGCATTTAAGGGACATCATCAAGAGGTCTGTTCGTGCCCAAAATCCTGCACCATCAACGCTTTCACAATTATGTACGTCTATCGAGACAGCATGGCTCAATATTCCTGCAGAAGACTTCCAACGACT